CATAATCTCTTCAGCTTTATTCTTTTCAAATGGTTCAAGCAGCGTGATTTCTGTGACGGGTCTCCTGGGGGCTAAGGTAACACAGAATGCTTTCTAATAGCAGGAAGCAATATGCTCATTTGCAGGGAACACGCCCCTCCTCATTTTATTTCTTCATTTTCAGAGATGCCAGTTCTTCGGCCACTTACCCAAGGGCTTCTCTCCTTTTCAGTAACCCCGCCAGCCAGTCTTCACTGGCGGGTCCTAAACACCTACCCTGAAAGCGATGCGACCCCCTGAGGCCAGAAGGGAAGCTGCAAACTGGTTTATCTTGAGCTGTGTGAGGAAAAGACCCTTGTTCAAATCCATACATCAATTTATACCTACAGAAAGTAACAGAATACTCTTTCCCTCCATTTCCATTTCTGTCTGTCCAAGCACTTATGAAGTTTCTTTTCTCTCCTGGACCTTCTCCTGACAGAAAGCCATCCTGACAACACCAGGCCTCTCCGTCCTGGGTACTTACATCCATTATTCATGCACCAAATACGTACTGAGCACAGGTAGAAGCCAGGACTGTGCTAGAAACTGGAGCTGCAATAAACTCTGAAGGACCTTACAGTTCAGGGACAAAGGAAGTTTCCTAGGTTACCAGCACACTGTGACAGTGTGTGCATCAGGAAGGAAGAATAAGTTCTGCTGTGGGGAGGAGAAAGAGGGAAAATGTGAATGAGATATCAAAGGACAGATCATTGCTCACCAAGTTGAACAGGGAGAAAGAGAGGGAGGTTATTCCAGCAGTCAAGGGAGTTAGGCAGAGGTCTTGACTGTTTTCTGATAAGAAACAGTCTTTTCTCTGATTAATATGTAAACGCCTTGATAATAATAATAGTAACTAATATTACTGAGCTCTTTCTCTGTGCCACTGTCAGTATACGCCTGTTAAACATTTTGTACTATCTCAATGAATCCTCCTCACAATTCCGTCACACACACACATACACACACACACACCTCTTTGTATTATTACACATATACAAATGAGAAAACTGAGGCTTAGAGAGGTGACCTCATTTGCCCAGCTGGTGAGGGGCAGAACTGGATTCAAACTCAGCTCTCTCAGACTCTATAAAGCCCAAGCTTCACTACTATTCTGTGTTCTGTTTGTACTTTGCCAGGGCTGAGTACATCGTGGTGGCCTAAGCCTTGTTGCCTGAGGGAAGAGTTGGGTGACAGCTTGCTGTTTGGCGGGGGAACGGTGCCATGTCCCACTGTAGGCAGGAGGGGAAGGACTCATGACTTCATTTCACAGCCTGCTTTGTTCAAATGTGAAGTTACAGGGTGAGGCCAGCATCACTCTATACTCCCAGGTATTTGTTAAGCCAGGAGTGTGTGCAGGGAAGAGATCAGAGCCCAGTCCTGGCGTCAGACAGGCCCAGGCAGGCTTTGCGGCTAGACGCATTTTTTTTGTTTTTGTTTTTTGCTAGTAAGTTTGACCCAACTCACTAGGTATGTGATCTTGGGGCTAGTTAGTTAACCTTTCTAGGATTCATTTTCCTTAACTTTGCTGTGAATTTAATGCTTACTTCATGTCATCATCATCATATTATCATTATCACTATATTATTATCACTGGTAATATGAGGTTCAGAGTTAACTTGCTTTGCCTGTAGGGCCTGCTGTCCAGTGGCAAACAGCAGGTTTGTATGTGTCATAGAAACTCGGAGGAGAGGCCCCTTCTGTCTCTGTGAGCTTAGGAAGTCATGTTCCCTCCCTGAGCATCAGCTGCCCCCTCTGTCAGTCAGGGAGGTACATGGGATGACCTGAAGGTTCTTCATGCTGCGAGGCTGTTTACTCTTCCTCCCTCTGCCTGTTCCCTCCTTGGGGAGGAGAGGTACCTAACTTCACCGGCTTGCATGATGATGCAGTTTAAGGAACTGGCAGTTTGCTCTTTGTCTCCCACTACCTGATGTCAACTCCAGACCCTGAGCGCAATAGGTCACTTGCAGCCGCCATCTGTCAGGAGTAGGTGAGGGCAAATGATAACTACAATAATAAATAGTATTTTTTGTAAAGTTGTGCCCGATTGAATAATTTGCGCGTCAAGCTTGAATGGATGGAGGGATAGCTAACAAACAGAAGCAGATCCATGATGGCTACAGCTGAGGCTGCTGGCCCTCAGCCAGTAGCCCCATCTCCGCAGGATGGGTCCCAGGGATTAGGGCTCTGTCTGGGAGCTGGGTCACCGGGCAGGGGAGTGGGAAGGTGGTTCTGCCCGCGGTACTTTCATCTAGCCCCATCTGGGCCTTCCATCTACACACTTCTTTTCAGGTGGATTCAGATGCTATATGCTCATGGGCTGTGTTTGCAAAGACAAGCAGAGCCCATCAGAGAAGCGTATCATAGTTTTAATGTGAGAGGGTGTGAGTGGCCCAAGGATTTCTTAATGGTTCATTTTATAGGGAGAGAAAAATTGAACACTGGTTGCTAGACTTTGAACAGTAGCTGATAAAAGTGCAGGTTTTCACTTGGCCAAGGTTTGAATTTCTCTAAGATTTTAGAGTGCAGAGATTAAAAAAAAACAAACATGAAAACACACACATGCCTCAAGGGAGAAAAACACCTTCAAACTCCCCAACACTTCCTTTTAAGAACGGTCTCTCTTTCCCCCTTTCTTTTTCTCACACTCAAACTCTCCCACTTCCCCGCACCTTTCCTATTCATGCTCATGTCAGAGCCCGGCAGGCTCATTATTATTTCTGTACTAGATACTAGGGATCACTGGGTGTGTCTGTCATTGTAACTGATTGTCATTTTAAAGCCAAAGAGAATATTCCTTGGGCCCGGGGAGGAAATTTTCACAGGAGGCTTGGCAATCGTCCTTGATCCCTTGCTTGTGCATTTCTGTCACTTTTTCTCCATCCTTCTTGCTACTCTCCTGGTTTAAGGGGACCGATTTTTACATGTTTGGAAATACCATTCACATAACAACTGCACTCCCCTTGGGAGAAAATGCTCTTGCATCAGTTAGCATGGTGCCTAGCAAATAGTCGGCGTCTGATAAACAACACTTATATTCCTTACTCATCCTCAATCCTCACTTCAGGGGCTGCAGTGCATATCCTAGCAGAAGACACTACGTTTGGCAGCAATCCTTTACTTGAAGAATCTAATACCTCCATCTGCAACCAGGCACGTATGGGCTTAGCCAGGCTAAGTGAGTAATAAAGAATTATTTTTATTTCACAGGCATTTATTGATTTTACCAAACATATTCCCAGGTCCAATGTTCAATAGTGTCTGCTGCAATGAGAAAAAGGTCCCCCCTTTGGAAGAGGAATTGCAAAAGCACACTTACTCTTGCTGAACAGTATGTGGGATGAGTTTTATTCCCCATATGTATCCCTTCTGCAACAATATGGCTATAGTAAATATTGTTTTTATAGTAAATATTGTAACGCATATGAGGAGCTCACAGTTAAGCAGATCATCACCGCCCTATGTTATAATTGCTCTGATGGGGTTTGTACAAGATATGAGGGCACCAAGGAGGCAGCAAGGGCCTCTGGGGAAGCTGGTGAAGGCTCAGAAGCCGTGTTTTAGCTGGGACTTACTTGAAGGAATAGGAGATAGTCAGGTGGAAAAATAGCAAAGCTCGGTTCTGGAAGAGTAAAGGTCTCTCTAACAGGGGGTGCCAAGCCACCTCTTCTCCCCTCCACCTCCCGCCAGGCCTGTGAAGCTGCCTGGAAGGAGCGTAGGATTTAGGAAAGGTGGGCAGAGAAACAGCAAAGCGCCCCGGAGGCAGCTATGGCCTTTGCCCTGTGACCCCTCAGTTATAGGTAGTACTACTGTGTACTTCTGGTCAAGAAATAATCAAGCAATAAATGAGCAGGACGATTCTTTTTTCCTGCAGAAACCACATGTCGAGTTCAGAAACCACTCTTTCAGTATGCAATCAGCTCCTTCAAGTATTTGGATTATACATTCCAATGAAGGAGCATTTTGCAGCTGACAGAGAAGTCACAAAATCTACCCATCAAAGTCTTATCCACTTTGATAGGGGAAAAAAAGGCTCACTCCTTGGGTTTCTCAGCCTACAGTAGATTAAAAATAGCATGATTCAATTTGGATGGGGGCTGGACAGAGTTCTGCTCCAGGCACCTATCTGCAGACAGCGCCAGGAGAGTAGAGCTGAGCCCCGCACAGTGAGGCAGGCCAGGAAAACTGTCAAGCTTGGATTTAGCCACAGAACGTGTCAATAGTGTGATAACTGAGGGCTGTAATTATTAATTCAACAACTCCTAAGGGGTCTGAGCTGGGTAAACAGGGAGAGTGAGAGCCAGCCTGGGACCTCTGTGGTGCTCCTGCAGGGGGCTGCCTGTAGAGAGACAGGGTGTGAGCACCGAGCCTTCACCTAACACCTGGCACATACAACTCAGACGAAAAGTGCACACGCAGTCACTACCATGTTTACATGGTGGGTTAAGGTTAAGTGTTACTAAAGTATCCCGGTCACCTTAACATTGTGATCTTGAATTTTGTTACTATGACAAATATATATGGCATTTAATTTATAAGTTTATTTTAACTTTGGAGACGTTAAGAGCTATAAGGATAAGGTATTTGTACTCAATTTTATGTTTATGTATATTTAGGGAGCATCATCATAAAAGATTTTAGGTAACACAGAGAGAACAGAATGATTTTCTTTAAAAGACCCATATAAAGCCTTCACCTCATAGGGGTGTTGTGAGGATTTAATGAGAAAAATCCTTACAATCTACTTTGTAAAATGCTTGACTTATAAACTTCAATAAAATTTTGTTATATTTGTAATCACATTTTAGAAATACTGATCAAAGACAAACCCTTTATTCCCCAAATGTGAACTTTGCCTAATCCTTAGAAGGGAGTAAATGCAGAAGTTCAGTCAGTCCTTGGGGCTCAGTTAGGGGAAAGGAGAACAACTTCCCTTAAACAAAGCAGTGACCCCACTGAATAGCAATCATCAATGCCTGTATTTATTTTCTGACTACAGTTTGGGCTTGTGCTCCCAGCATTCCACCCCTACGAGGGCCTGAGGGCTGGGGAGCTGTCAAAGAATGCGTCCTCCACGAATGAGGAGTGATGAGCTCTGTTGGAACAAATGCCTGCTCCAAACTCATTAGGCTGCTAATTTCTCATGACAGGTGAGTACAAGCCAATTACAGAGAGAGACAGTGGCTTCCTGGGTCTTTCCAGGAGAAACACCTATTCACATCAAGAACGTCCAAACACCAGTTTCAACAAGTGGTAGCAGAATCTTTACAAATATTTGTGAGGTTGTCACAACATGAAAGGCGAACAGCACACCTACAAGCTTTTTCCTCCTTTTCAAGTGAGATAGGCTCTAGCTTACACGGACGAGGGCTTGTAATAGACATGAGTTCTCACTTGGTAGTGCAACACCCAAGCTTCCCAGAACTCTAAAGGAATGGAGGCTGTTTGCTTTATGCATCATGACTACTAACAAATGGAGGACACTTACCCTTACTTCCCCACTGTCACCCACTTATACCAATGCCCTTGAAGTGTGGAGGTCATGTCGCCCCAAAATGGGCCTCAAGCACGCAGAATGAGCTGTCATAATCCTGAGCATGATGGGCCTTTCATCATTTCCTGCTTTCATGTTAGGGGGCAGCTCACGCTTATTGCATGATAATAGGTAGACAGATAGATGAGTGGGCTACTCAAAGGTGTTTTTTGAGGAGTGTGATTTTGATTGGGTTTAAAATCCTTCACACTATGACTCTTTAGGTTAGTTTATCTCATATCCTAATGAAGCAAGGTTACTGAACCCCCTTCCTAGCCCCATTTCATGGATGAGTGCTTGTCCTGCCTCAGATGACATGGCCAGTGGCATAGTTACGGATCACGGTACTAGGTCTTCTGACTGCGTGAGAGGAACAGATGATGCATCCAGAGTGCCAACTTCCAAGATAATCTAAAGCTTTCCCATTCATTGTTTCTAAGAGCAACTGCAAGCACTCAAACATCTTTGTTTTCCTCCAACCCTAGTCCAGTGCTGGACATGACAGACACCTTGTGCACATCTGCTAAATAAATGGTGTTCATGTACCTCTAAAGGACAGCACTGTGTGGCTGTGGACAGGTTTTCTGCTCCTCTGACCCTGCCTCCTCATCTAATGAAATGGATAATTCATCAAAGTGCTCTGCAGATAGGAGGACTTATTACTAGAATCCATGAAGAATTTCTTAATCCCAGAGGAGTGGATCCGTCACAACTACTTTTCTGCTTTTAACCTTGCTATTGGTCTAAATATGGTTTCTTTTTTTAGAGATTATTTTAGTGACAGTTTTATTGGTTCTGGCCTGGGTGGATTTTCAGTCAGATTCAGTGGTTATTTCAGTCTCATGCATAAACTGGTGCCAATCACCAAGAGTACAGAGCGACTGCTGCCGGCGGCTTCAGGTGGCAGGTAAGGCAAAGGTCTTGAGGTGGGTGTCAGGAGAGAGCTGCTTGAGGATGGGCCTAAATACGTAGGTTTGATTCCGAGTCTGGCCCTGCTGGGGGTCACTCTCCTGGCCACTGTCATCCCAGTGGGTGCTGCTGCTTTGCACAATATGCCTTTCACCACTTTTGCTGTGAATTACTGACAGATCTTCACTAATTGGCAGCAGATACTCATGTGTGACATTTTCACATTGTCTGCTAACTGCCATTGCCGGCTGTAGCCTCCCTCTGGTCCCTCTGATGAGGTCTCTGTGGTCCTGCCACTGCCCGTGGCCAAGGTGCCTTCCGCTCCCGTCTCTCCAGGTACCACCACCCTCCCTCCCAGCAACAAAAGCCAATCTCTTTATCCACAAACATACCCTGTCAACACTCTAGCCACATAACCTTCAAGGGTGCCCTAGAGAAGAAAGAATGGCCTCCTTGAACTTTTCTTTAAGGGTTACTTAATACCCTCCATTATTAGGCCTCAAGCTGCATTTCCAGCCTGACTTCCCCAGCTGCCCCCTTGTGTATGTTGTGTTCCAATCAAATGGAGAACTTGCTGGTCGCCAGACATCCTCTCCTCTGTTGACGTTTATTTACAGAACTGAAGTATAGTTGACATAATATTACAGTAGTTTCAGGTGTACAACATAGTGATCCAACATTTACATACATTACAAAATGCTCACCGTGATAAGTATAATTACCTTCTGTCACCATAGCAAGTGACAACAATATTATTGATTCTGTTCCCCATGCTGTATACTCCTTTACTGTGGCTTCTACTATTTTCTAAGTAAGAAAACTGCACTTATTCAACAGTTGTTGAAATCTTACTCAATCCTCACAGAATTGGCTAAAATGCTCTCTTTTCATGCATCCATTTCTTAATTGCTGTCCCTCAGAGGAGGCACCCTTCTGCTTTGAATCTTCATTATTAGGCTGTACACCTCTCACTAAACTTTTTTGTCTTATACTATAGCAGGGTGTGCATGTGTATGTGTGTGTGTCTGTGTGTGTGTGTGTGCGTGTGCACGGAAAGATCAGCTCTGGGATGGCAGAAGTGGTGCTTCACTCATTCATGTCCCCACTCAGTAGCCTGAACAATATCCTGTACATGGGGGAAACTCAAAACCTGTTTAGTGGAATGAAAGAAAATAACACTCAGATCAAGAGAACCTTCCTTTAAGAGCAACAGTAAATTGTTCAGTTTTCCATTCACAAACTACAGCAGAAAACATGGGGTGGTACCTTCTAATTTACATATTTTTTCTCCCGATACATCACCTTTATTCTTACATTATTTAATTCAATAATTATTGGTCAAGTGCCATGAACTTTTTTAGGCCCTAGTAAATCACATTCACTGCCTTCAAGGAACTTGCAATTTACTCCCGAGATTTTTATTATTACAGTTGAAAAATCAGTCTCAGAAAGAGAAGCTACTGGTTCCAGATCACATAGTTAGGAAAGCTAAGAATAGAATCCAGGACAGTCTAATTTCAGAGCCTTATTTCTTTCTTTATTTTTAATGAAAAGACAAAGTAATTAGGTAGTTTTAATGAATATTAAGAACATACTGGAAGCTATTGTTGAAATGTTTCAGATATTACATGATCTGTCATTAAAAAAAAAAAGACTCTACCCACATATAAACAGAGTACTGTTGAAAAGAGGCAAGATATACTATTTTTGCTTGCTCAGAGTCTGGCTATAATTACTGTAATGAGAAAGTCAGACGATCAAACAGCCATTTCTGCATCTTTATCTTTCAGTATTGATGTTTTAAAAATGTTTGTAAAAGTGAAACACGTAAGCTCTAAGGCGTGACTCTAGGCCTGTTACCTTAAAGGTTCAGGTTAAAGGAAGTCCTGGAGTGAATCAGAATTGATTCATGAATAACTCCCAAAGTAGAAATGGGTTTGAGCCAAATTTTCTGAATAATGCTTAACATTCTGAATTAATAGTGGGAAGAAAATGTAACAAAGGCTTAATGTTCTCATCTGATGAAACTATACTCGTTATTTATATAACCACAAATTATACATCTCCTATTTGTATTACTACAGCTCCAGCATCACTAATTGAACAGATAGAATTAACTATGCTAATAAAGTCTACAATGAGTTCATACATAAAAATGCCTTAAAGAATCAATTATTCTACTTTGCTCACGCCATATGTCATCATGCAGGGCCCAGCTCTACCACTTACTAGCTCTGTGAGTTTCGGTAAGTTTTTTATCCTTTCTGAACTTCAGTTTTCTCATCTGTAAAATGAGCATATTAAGAATTTGTATTTCACGGGAGTTTTGTAAGGAGTAAATGAGCAATACCTATAAAAATTACCTGTGGAAAAAGAGGCAATCTGCTGATCTTCAGAGAAACCGGGGAACTGAATTAAATGCAGTGGTTCTCCGATACAGTAAGCACTGATCAAGTCTGTTCTGGACCTTCCCACAGGTAGTTACACAATATAGCAGAGACCCTGGGAACAATCCTGATTTGCAGCCAACAGGAGGGCAGGAGAGGTGGGCTGGAATCAGTGCTGCTCTGACCTCCACCTTCTTGCCCAGCCACAAAGTCAGCAAACACGTGGTCAGAAGTGCCCATTATGCAAGTGGGTACAGGACACAGTTGTGGCAACTCTCCTCTTTCTGTGCAAAAGGGGATTTGGATTCTAAGGATTAGATTTTATTCACTTAAACAAAATGATTTTATTCATTTAAGAAATGTTCATCCAGTTCAGTTGACTTTCAAGGTTCAGATAGGGAACTTCTTTACATGTATCAGAGAAAGAAACTCGGTTGTAGGCTCCTCTGAGAACCATCTGCAGAGAAGCTGCTAACTCCTAATTTATCCAAGAGTTATCTATGTGTTGCTCACATGGTTCTCGGGGGACACGGGAGCTCAAAATTTGGACAAATGTGATTATCACATTAAAAAGAAAATAGGAGTTCACAGCTCCCTCCAGGCTGGGCTAGTGACATTGCAGATTCCCTGGACAGAGCCATGTCTTTGTTCTTTATGTAAAAATGTTCGTCTGGTTAAAGCCACACTGCATGCAGGGTGGGGAAGGAATCAGAGATTAAAGCCAGGAAGACCAATTAGGGATCTGTCCCTTGGTAGAGACTGGAAATAAACAACTAGAGCCTTTCCGGAGTGGACGAACTGAGGGGCAATGTTGCCTTTCTGATGTCACTTGGAGAGGGGCAATATGGCTCTCCTTCCACCCCTCCTTCCTGAATCTCTAGGTCACCTTGCAACATCTGAGCTCCTCAGCAGGCTGTGGCCATCCCAAGACTAGCTCTATTAAGGAGCTTTCGTCTGAGGGCAGTAATGACTTTTTCCCTGGAAACTCAAAATGTCACTTTGAAGCTGCTACAAAAGCAATCCTCATAACTCACCCTGGTGAGGCAAACATTATTCCTCTCTTACTAACAAAACACTGACTGTCAAGTCACTTTTTGGATAAATGATACAACGGCAGGCTCTGGTATGAACTCTCTGTGTGTCCCAGAAAAATGATTCTCAGCTTCTTCGCCTATAAATGACATAGTAGGAGGCGAGGGCCATATGGAAATTTCCAAGAATTTATGGAGTAGAACCGAAATTTCTCAATGCCAGCTCCAGCTGGGTCCGGGGAGACCATCTCCTGAGTTCAGCCTGCTTTCATCCTACCACTAGAGCTTCATCTCTGCCCCACCCCCTCTCACCATCAACATCCAGGCTTTGGAAAAAGAAACAATATTATTAGGAACCACTCAGTCAGACTGTCTAGGATGACAGTCCTCTCTGATCTTTTGAGCAACAGTTTTCTATTTTCCTTTGGCCACCATTTTTAGTTAAGATTTTCATAATCTCATGCCCTGAATAATGCAATAGGTTTCTCCAATCCATCTTTTGCGCAGCTGCCAGATTGATCTCTCGGAAACCTACTTCTGATCATTTGCTTCCCTTTCCTCTAAAAAGGATGGATTGAGCAGCCCATGCATGCCTGCTAGACACTGTGCTTGCTGCCAGGTGCCTTACAAAGATGGGTATGTTTGGACCTTTACCTGGGAGTGATATTTAGACAACAGTACAGATACATTCAGGGTGTTAGCTCAGAGGAAATCACTCTGAGGTTGGGTTTGGCCACACCGTTAACAATTCTTTACCGTCTACAGGATAAAGTACAAATTTCCTGGAAAATGAAGGTACCAGAAATGACTTGAGTCTTACTTGCCAGATTTAAGTCCTTTTATTACCCTTCATGAACTGTTGCTTGCAATGAACACAAACCATGTTTTATATCCTGCATATCTTGTATTCTATTCCTACCCCACTGCCCACCCTTTGAGAATTTTACTGATTCTTTAAGGCCCTCCACTTCAGATTCCCCTAGCTTCCAAGCCAGAATCTCTTTCTCCTCTGAACTTCAGAGCAAGTTTCCTGCGCTTGTGTTTGGTATTAATTGCTTCCTCCTTGCAGGACTCTGTATCTCCTGGAGTAACCCGGCCCCCTCAAGGCAGTGGCCAGGTCTTATTCACCGTGGGCCATACTGCCTAGCAAGCGGTCTCATATTGGCATCTAATAAAGGTTTATTAAATGACTGAATGGACATGTTTCCCATGTCCCCTCATTTTATTCTGGCAAGCCACAATAGAGAAAGCGTACAGCCCCAAGCTCACCTCAGAAATTTTCTCACTCAGAAAGAGGTGCATCACTGAGGAAATCAGCTTCCCCCTTTCAGGATTTAAGTTTATGCCCAAATTAGTTTTTGACAAAGCTAAACCGAATCCCATTTACTTACTTGTGTTTCTTAAAATGCACAAGTATGACATGGTTTTAATAAGGAAGAGAGCATGCTGTAGAAAAGAGATTATGGGTTTGGAATCCATCTGATAAGGGTTCAGGTTTCTTCACTTCTCTAAGCCCCAGTTTCTTTAAGTCTATAAAGAGGGAATAAATTATTTCCCTTCAAATTTGTTGTGGTGATCAAGAGATTTATGTAAGCTGTCTGAGCCTTTATCATGGACATGCCTACTACTTTGAATATCATCTCTCATCTCTGTTTTGTACCAGCCTGTGAATAAATAGGACTAGTTATTTGTGTATAGCCTACCTTACTTTTAGACAGGATTTACAGTGCAGCGGGGACACTTACGCATTGCACACTGCTGACATTTAGTAAGCACATTGATAACGCTCATATACTTTCAGACATATACTTCCCTTCCTTAAATTATATGTATTTTTAAATAAAAATAAAACAAGATTTAGCATAAGCCACTAAATATTCATTGATTTTTCCCTGGAGAACAGCTTGATTCTGAAGATCACACCATTTCCTAAATGTCTCCACAAGTAACAGAGTAGCTGATTAGGAAATGGATCAAAAAAGAAGAACAATGAAAGGATTTATGGGGGTGATTACATTTTCACCAGAGGCTAGTTTGAATGGAGACTCATTAGGAATTTAAGTGACACCGGCAGGAAAGCCCAGCTTGGGAACTGACATGTTACTCAAGGAGACCCATCCAAAATGATGGCCACTGGAGCTTGTGGGTCTGGCTAAACTGGAATGGTCTGGGGTGCTGTGACAGCTCTGCACTTGTCTTTGCATGTGTAGACGCAAACTTGGGGAAGGCACATGGAGTAGACAGAAAGCCTGGGCATTTCATTTGTAGCAAGCAGGCTCTTTCATGTGGAAAACCTCAGAATTCCTCATGGATACTCTCAAATCAATGAGCGTCAAAGCTCACAGTCAGGTTATCCACCCAAGCTTCCTGACCATCCAACCCTTCCTTGTCCGCCCCATTTGCTACAATTCCCACCACACCATCCACACCATCTATCTGGTGACTCTGATCTGCTTGGCCTTAGTCCTGCCTACCCATAGTTTCCACCTTCACGCTGATGCTGTTCCCTATGTGTGGCGAACTCTTACCCAAACTTCAAGGTCTTGCTCAAATGTCACCTTCTCTTTGAAATCTTCTATCTTATCTAAGGCACAATTAGTTACTCCAGCCTTCTTCTGACCTCCACCAGAATAAGGTATAGTGTAGAACAGGAAAGGTCAAAATGATCTGAATGTAAGGCTAACTCTGGCACCTACTAGCTGTGTCATCTTAGGTAAATTACTTATATCTTCCTGAGGCTAGGTCTCCTGGTATTTGAAATAAAGACGATTAATTCCCTACATTTATGGAGATCATCAGTGGTAATTATAGCCATTATTTGGCTGCTTATATTTCTCTTTGTGAGCTTTTCCAGATGACAGACCCCACCTTTTTAGTTATCTTGCTGTCCCACAAAACACTCAGAACAGTGCCTGCCACTTTGCAGCACTCAAGAGTTTCAAATCGGTGGGTAGATCTGGAGTAACTCAAGCACTGATAGGCCGGTTGAAGCCGCAGTTCTTCCATGAAGTGTGCTCTCTGGTCATTCCTATTCCCATTAATTGGACTCTACAGCTCTTGCACATCCTACTAATAAGGCTCTTGTCACAGCCTGCTTCATACGTACTAACTGATTTTAAGCTCTGAGGTCTTTCACTCCGATTTCACCACATTTCACAGTGCTGTGTAAATGCCAGCTGATGATAAGGTTATTTTAAACATCGCATTCTCTTTCTTATTGCAAACAGTTTTCCTCCTCAGTTTATGCTGACCTTACTCCAGGGTCCCAGACTGAGGCTCTCACAACAATGACTTATTTCTGTAGTCCTTGTCCTTGGCTCAAAGTGAGCAGTTGCTCCTGCCCTAGCCTCCCCACTCTCCACAAAGCTGGGCTCTCCTTTCTTCAGAGCACTTTCTCTTAATTGTCCTTTCCTTTCTACCTCTGAGTAAGAGTTTCCTCATTGGAGTATTGTTCTCATGGGGTTCACAAAACTGTGGTTTTTTATTTCTTAATTCATAGGCTCATGGAAATCTACAGCTGGAAGGCACCTTAAGAAAAATCACTGGATCCAGGGACCTCCAATAGAGAACAATTCCCATTGTTGTGTTGGGATGACTAATCCATCATGGAGCTTTTTGTTCCCTGCTGAGATCATATGTAGTCTCAGAATCACTTTCAATACAATATTCAAGTAGAAATGATCAATCCATCAGTCAACATAGGAAATGAAGCTAGTTTGACAACCTCCATGTGGTTCACAGCTGTTTTTTTGCTAATGGCCCGGAGAACAGTGTGACTGAATGAACTGAAACCGTTGCAGGTTACGTGACCCCCATGACTTTCTGTCTGGGTTTTCCTTTCCACTTGATCACTGCCTTTCTTTCAACAGTCGTCTTTCAAGTCCGAGAATTGAATTATATTCATTGGCACATACCTAATAATATGTAACAATATGATTAAAAAGCACAACACACCAATTTTGGCCTTATTACAAAGACAGCTGGGCTCTCATTGATGATACAAATTCTTGAGGAAAAGGGCCTGTGTTATACTTTATATTTTTCACAAGTTCTAGCTTCGTGTCTGGCACATGGTAGGTGTTTAACAAAAATTCTCTGATATTTTCAACTATATGTATGAAATAAAGAGGAGATCTATCCTTAAATTCTCACCAAGAAGCATTGAAATATCCTACATCCTTGTCTACAAACAGTGTTTGTTTGAAAGGACTCCAGGCATGATGTCATATTCACTTCTTCTTTTTTTTTTTTTTAGAGTGACACCATATGTTTAAATAAGTTCCCACCTCACACGAATGTTTTAGGGGAGAGTAAATTATTATGTCAATGGCTGAGTTCCAGATGACACTTCTACAAAGGTCAGTGTTGTGGTTTGGGGCTAATAAGTCTTGAGAAATGATAGCTTTTCTTCTTGTTTTTCATGGTGACATCTATAGACCATAATTTGTGGTTCTGTGATGCTCACAAGACAGAGTTGTTAGGACAGAAAAGTACAGGAAAGGAGAAGAAGAGAAAGAGAATAGGAAAAGGGGGAGGTATTTTATAATATGGCAATAAAGTATAGTATTATCACTTAAAAATAGATTAAAAAACTGTAGCACTCACAGCTAATATACTACTTAATGGTGAAAGACTGAACGCTTTCCCTTAAGGTCAGGAACAAGATGAGGATGGTTGTTCTCACCACTTCCATTCAATACTGTACTGGAGGGTTCTAGCTAAGGCAGTCAGGAATGACAAAGAAAAGTCATCTGATTAGAAAGAAGTCAAACTCTCTCTTTACACCTATGACATGATCTTGTATATAGAAAATGCTACAGAATCCAATAAAAAAAACTATTAGACCTATTAGAATGGGCTCAGCAAGGTAGCAGGAAATAAGATTGGTATATACAAAATAATTACAGTTCTATTCACTTGCAATGAACAATCCAAAAATGAAACTAACTCACATGCAAAAGAATGAAATTGGAACCCTACTTCACATCATATATGAAAGTTAAGTAAAAATGGATCAAACATGTAAATGTAAGAGCTGAAAGTATAAAACTCTTAGAGGAAAATGTGGACATGAATCTTCATGAAGTTGTATTAGGCAATGGTTTTGTAAATATGACACCAAAGCATAGTAGCAGAATGAAAAAGTAGATAAATTGGACTTCTTTAAGATTAGAAACTTGCATGCATCCCAGGGCACTATCAAGAGAGAGAAAAGACAACTCACAGACTGGGAGAAAATATGGCAAAAAAGGGAAGCTAAGTGAGCCTCTCTCCTCTTTTCACCTGATCTCTACTCCTCTTTTCTTTTGGTTTCCTTGCCTTCCCTTCCCTTTAAGAATATCAGGGTATTTACCTTCACTTCAAAAGCGAACATATAGATAATCCTGACTTTTCCTTTTCTCCAGAGGCCTTCTCTTGCCAAGTCTGCATGACAGAGCTAGACATGCATATATTTGGAAAGCATATATTTGATAAGAGATGAATATCCAGAATATAGAAAGAACTTCTACAATTTAACAACTAAAGAACCCAGTTTAAAAATAGACAAAGAATCTGAATAGACATTTCTCCAAAGAAGAGCAGCATACGAAAAGATGCTCAACACCAGTGATCATTAGGGAAATGCAAACTGTAACCACAATGAGATACCACTTCAGACCAATGAGTATGGCTGTAAGCCAAAAGATATATAATAACAAGTGTTGGTGAGGATGTGAGAAATGGAAACTCTCACCATACACTGATGGTGAGAATGTAAACCGGTACCACCACCTTGGAAAATAGTCTGAAGGTTCCTCAGAATGTTAAACATGGTGTTGTCAGATGACTCAGCAATTCTACTCCTAGGTATATACCCAGTACAAATAAGAATATATGCTTCCACAAAAATTTGCATGCAAATGTTCACAGCAGCATTATCCTTAATAGCCAAAAAGTGGAAACATCCCAAGTGTCTATCAACTGATGAATGGATAAATTAAATGAGGTGTATACATATAATGGAGTATTATTTGGCAATGAAAAGAGATAAAGTACTTACAGAAGCTACAACATAGATGCACTTTGAGAACATTATGCAAAGTGAAAGAAGTAGTCACAAAAGACTACATAGTGTATGATTCCATATATATGAAATATCCAGAATAGGCCAAATCTATAGAGACAAAGTAGATTAGTAGTTGCCTAGGGCTAGGTGGGGGTGAGTTTGGGGAAATGGGAAGTGACTGCTTTCGAATTCCTTCATGGGGTGATGAAATGTTGTAAAATTGACTGTGGTGATGATTGCTCAGTATACTAAAACCTTTGGACTGCATACTTTAAATTTGTGAATTGTACGCTATGTGAATTATATCTCATTAAAGGTGTTATTAAAGAAAGATAAATGTGCATATAAGTAAATATTTTAATTTTGGTGATTAAATTTCATTTGTTAATTCTCTCCTATCTTATGTCTGTCACAACAATCCATATATTCACTTAGATGATCCACATGTATATCTCCATGACTGCAATCTTAATTTTATAATATGTAACAGACTACACATATTTTATGATGAGCAGGTATCTTTTATGAAATCCATCATCTTCGAACATCTAATTCACAAGAAAAAATATTAATGAAAACATCTATACTATCCTTTTTCTTCTTCATTATAATCATTATACCACCTTTATCAACACATTATTTCTGCTGACCACTAGCAGCTTTACCCTCAGTATTTAATATATTTATCAAAAATCTACTTCATCAGAAATTATATTATTACTTTTAGCAATATATTTCTAAGAGTGCTCTACTGTCTGGTAGCTCCATAATTTGTTTGCTACTGAAAGCCTAAATGTTAATTATAGTTAAATCCATGGCAACCGAGATAACTTAATGTTTCAATTACTTTGTACCTACCCCTTTTGAATCAATCACTCCAGGTTTTGCGTTAAACTTCACTGTCTTCAATCGGGCACGTTCCTTTCTTTCCACCCTAGGAAAACAGAAAAATTAGAGGTTATCATGTGGCAAGGCATTTATGATTAAAGTTCTTATTAAATGAAGTACACCTCTGCTTCTTATCCTAAGCTCACATAAAATGTGTTCTTAACTATTTCTATTCCTTTGTTCAGTATAAAAAGTCTTGGTATAATGCCTTCTAGCTAATGCATCCCTTGACATTTCTGTGTTACATGTACTGAAAGTCACAGTATTTGAAGGAACACAGAGGATGAAAAACCGGTATTTGTTGTTTAAATGGCTGAATCAATCAATCAAAATCTATTTCAAGAAATCACAGTCCGTAGGGGTGAACACCTAAAAGTGGAGACTAAGGGTGCTTCTCTCCTCTCCTCTGCTCTCCTCATCTCTACCCTCTGTGCTTTTTGTTTCCTTTTTCTTCCCTTCTCTTTAAGAACGAGAGGGTATTTCTCTTCATCCTAAAACCAAATATGTTATAGATAACCTTGAATTTCCCCTCTTCCCCAGTGTCCTTCTCATGTCATCTTTGCAGATTTCATTACTTTACCTGTCACTTCATTCATTCATCAAACACTGGTTGAGTGCCTACCATGTGTCAGGCAAGGGGTTTGTGGGGCAAAGAAAAAAAATTTAAAAACATGACTGCAATGAACACACAGAAACATGCTTTGGGCAGCAGAGACATAAGGCTGATAATCCTGCCCAGAAAAACTGCTGATAGCAGTGTGGGAGTGAGGCCATTGTATGTGAGACTTGAAGGATAAGAGCTTGTTAGTAAGAAGAGTTCAGGGATAATGTCCCAGACAAGAGGGACCACACGTACCATGACGTGCGGATTAAGCAAGCTGAAGATTGCAGGGAGATTCTGATGCACCCGGTACACACAGGCATGTGAGATGGGGGAGAGGGTGCGGCCTCTACAAAGGGTGTCCATCCTCACTAAGGACCTGGGTTTTTGTCTTGGGTAACTTCATGAGTTCTTATGAGATAGAAAGCAGAGAAGTGATAGACTAGATGAGCATCTCAAATAAATGACCCTGGTGGAGGAGGAAGACAGGCTGGAGGCGGGCAGGGATGGTGGGAAGCAGGAAGCTTACTTAGAAGCGATTGCCATTTTCCAGGCAAGAAATGATGAGAAATGATAATGAGGTGGAGGACAGGGAAGATTTTTAGAAATATTAGTAAAATAAAATTGGTGAGACTTGTGCCTATCGAAGGATGGGTTGAAAAAGAGGAAAAGAGAGAAAGCTAAATGTCTCCCTGCTTTTCTTTTTGAGCCTCTTGAGTTAGACATGAGCATTCCATCCTCTAAGCCGCAAGAGCACACATTTGCATCTTGAGGTCAGTATGATCTCCTGTCTCCTGTGTTTAGTTTTGCATTGCACACGCAGGGTGCACGCTCTGTGAGGGCAAGCCCATGTACAGCTCCACGCTGTAATGCAGCAAGGCTTTAATAAATGTTGAACTAAAATTCTTCACATTGTTTAACACGACTTTTTGTTTAAATATGGTTAGGTCTAATTTCAAAAATGGAGGGGAAAAAAGAGAGAGAGGAGAAAACCTCTGAATCTACAGAAATTAATGGTTTATGAAATCTAAGCTATTCATAGGTCAATAATTAACAACATACTCCTTTTTAACTGAGGGCTCTTTTGTGTTTCCAGCTGAGATGCAGTGATGATTAGGGTTTCTATAGTTACAGAACGAAGGTTCAGAATATATTTATTTCAGTGGGAGAGTAGAATGTTTGAGTGGAAACAGCTGAACAAAAATTTTTCGTATCTAACCTCAGATTAATTAAAGCAATATGTTCTACTGAGCATTTCTACTTGCACCCAACAGGCACCAGTTGGGAGGCGTGCAAGGAAGACTTCAGATGAGATAAGCTGCCAAGTGGAAAGATGCTCGCTGAGAAAATGCCTGCTCCGAGCTGCTTCAGTTTTTCTCAGTTTTAATGCAAGTGCAAATGTTTATTCATATTCATCTCTTGGATCCTTATAAAACTGTGGTTACAGCCCCAGTTTTATCCTGGATTCTTTGCATTAACCAGGCTAGTTATGGGAAATACAAGTACATGATGCCAAAATGATAAGCATGCAGAGAATACATGGTTATTTGATCGGGCTATGCAAATAAACTCTGCCCAAGCCCACAGAACTCACACAGGCTCCAAACATACATAATATTAGGCTGAACTCAGTATTCTATTCTAAGAATTGTTTGGAAGGAGCATTCTAATTTTACCTCATGGCTTCTAAGTTAACACTTTTTCAGATTTCTTAAGAAATGTCCCTCTTAGGTCATTTTTCATAGCTCATCTTTAATCTTAAAAGGCTGTAAAAAATGTGCAGAGAAGAATGTAAAACAGACATACAGACAGACATACACATACACAAGCATGCACACCTGATAGGTGCTATGGTTTATTATTAATCTTCAAATGGGTCATAGGAAAAGTTAAAAAAAAATTTAAAGCCTTAACTATGTAGGTGGCATGGTTTGGTTCATACATGAAGGCAGTTGAAAAGCTCTGTTTTCCACTTGCGTTGAAAGTTTCATTAATGATGGTAATAGGTAGTGGCTGAACTTTTAACATATAATTATTAGTGAAAAATTCCTTCACATTTACATCACCTCATTTGGTCTCCACAATAACTAAGTAATGTAAGTATTAGCAACCCCATTTTACGGCTGGGCAAGCTGAGACTTAAAGTTTTCCAAATCAGAAAGTGGTAGAAATAGGGTAACTAGGCATTTGCTAATAGCTAACATCCACTCAAGTTTGGGAAACAGCATTCAAAGACCCTCCATGCCTTTCTTATGCAATGAGAATTTTCAATACACATGAGATTTTCAGGCCAATACAAGGTGCAAATGATAATCACCACTCCCCTTACATCCTCACATCCCTGTGCAATGATCCAGGGCTTAGATGGAGATGGGCACATAGCAGGAGCTTAATGAATCTTTGTGGAATGAATGAAAGAAAGAATGAATGCACCCTCAAGATGGCTACAAGTTCTTGACCTGGAGGTAAACACTAAGGTTCAGAGAGTAAGGGACTTGCCCAAACAAGCAGTTTCTGAAAAAAGTGATTCATCATTTCATGACTTTTGCAGTTGGTAAAAAAATATGTGTAAAAGTTTAGCATTACCTTCTGTAATTATTTTATGAAATGGACTCCTTTGGTCTAAATAGATGATATTAAGCTCCACAGATCTTCACCTAAGGAAACAGAGGACTACCTGTGGAGAAATCCTGGATCATGATGGGAAACACTGCCGTACTTCTCTCACACTCAAGAGTCAAGCAATTAATTAGATTGTTTAAGCAGAAATAATTCTCTCTACCCTAGTTTGGTCACTGACCAAAATACTGAAAATATAACCTAGATGGCAAAATTTGAGCAATCGGTTCTGATCCTTAGCATCTCCAGAGAGTACCAAGTGGGTACGCTTTAATGAGC